GGTTAGGAGATCCGGAATCGTCCGGATCTCGGGGGGTAGCTCGTTCCAGAGGGTGGGGGCACCCACAGAGAAGGCCCTCCCCCTGGGGGTCGCCAGCCGACACTGCCTGGCCGACGGCACCCTGAGGAGGCCCGCTCTGTGGGAGCGTACCGGTCTGTGGGAGGGAATCTGTGGCAGAAGGCGGTCTCGTAAATATCCAATCAGGTGCATATTTGGTCTTCAAAAGAAAACAGAAAGATAGCAAGTGGTGGAGATAAATAATGGACCAAAGGATAAAGCCCTGATCATAAATCACAGAGCTAAAATCTCTGTGAATTGGGTGTGAGCAAGTCAATATTTGTTTACAGTTATGTTCAGTCTGTGGAAAGGCAGCAATATACAGCCTTTCTTCAGAACTCCTGCCAGACTGACAGGGCCAAAACTGTAAAGCACTTTGCCCTCTTGAAATGATTACAGAGGTGAATAATGCTACACATCTATAGAAGGAAAGACTGCAGGGAGAAAAACCCCCCCACATGCAGCCTATCCCCGTGTTTTCCTGCCCAACTCCAACCAGAATGGGATTGCTAAATACTCACTGATTCCTCTGTCTTCATGACTGTCCTCATCCCTTTCATCTCTCTCATTCTCCAGGTTGGACATGCGGACTGACATTTCTACACACCATTACAAACAGAAAAATGCAACTATTAAGAGAGAGAAGTTGCATTAGCCTGTAAGAGTGCAATGTTTTGAAAATGGCCTTGGGTTACCCCTTTTTGAAGGACAAAGTAGCAGAGGCCTGGAAACCATATAGCAGTGGTGGCGAACTATGGCACGGGTGCCAGAGGCAGCACTCAGAGCCCTTTCTGTGGGCACGCGCACTGTCGCCCCAGTCCTAGGCCTTCAGCTGGGTTTTATAAAACCATTTCGCTTTAGGCCTCCACTGCTGTGTACAAAAAATAAGGTTCAATCAATCAGTCAATTTCAATTTCTCGCGGAAAAAAAAAAGATCTTGCAAAGTTGGAATTGATTGATTGAACTTTTTAGTCTCACCCAGTCTGCTGTTACCACCGCAGCCACGCCCACCAATGGGCCATGCCCACCCAATGGGCCACACCCACCCGGCACCCGACGATGCATAAGTGGGTTTTGGGTTGCAGTTTGGGCACTCGGTCTCTAAAAGGTTCGCCATCATTGCCATATAGCAATTATGGTTGAGGTTATGGCATAAAATTGTTAGCTTCCCTACCTTTCCCTTCTCTTTTAAGCCAAGCAATATGTGGGTACTATTTAAGTGTAAAATATGTATGACTCAGCAATATTTATAAAATTCTGTGAAGTAATAGCCATCCAAAGTCGCTGTAACTATGAGATGGGCAGCATATAAATTTAATAAAAAAAATAAGTAAAGAAATAAAAACGGCTCCGGGATCCCTGATATTCTGAGCCTAGTTGCTTGCAGATATTTGTTACCCAACTAGGTAACAATATCAGTGCACAATCAGGTGCAACAACCAGTGCGTAATCAGTACAATAACCAAGCTCAGAGAGTACTAAGGACTCCACAGTTCAACTCTGAGCTACATATATTCTCTTCTATGGGAAATAATAGATCTTTTAGTAATGTTAGAAAGTGATGACCACGGTTAAACATTTTCCTTCCATTTATGGCAACGCTTTCATAATTCCTGTTTTTCCAATTATTTGTACAATGTCAGTTGATATTTTCATGGAATTACACAGATCAATGCTAGAAAATAGCTACAATTATAATCAGCAGTAATATGCTCTATTTTGAATTTTATTATTAAGAAGGCAAAATGCTAAACAGTGAGATTATATAATGTGTTTATATAAAAGGATGTACCTAGAAAATGCCATTTTGTCTTCTGCACAACTGGAGCAAAAACGTGGATTTAGAACTTCTTAAAAATTACTAAATGTGTTGATAAAGGATCCACAAGGCAATGCACATCTATCCTGGAAAGCTAACTGCATATCTAACATGCTCTAGAATCAGCAGAAGGAATAAATATTTACAAGATTCCAGGACAGGCTTAATAAAATCAGTGCAACTTTAATTTCTTTATCCAGCAGAGGGCAGTGGTGCCTATTCTATATTACCAGAGCAATGTGAACAAAATATATTCTATAGGACATATGCTTATAATTCAATTTGAGATTATCAGAAGATTTGCACACATTCAAAGAGTCAGGACCAGAAAACATTGTAATTCTACTCCATAAGCAAAACATTTGTTCAGCTTACCTTGGGCTGCAAGTGGAGACATATGCTGATGACTTCTGCGATGGATCTGATGACGATAGGCATAGACCGCAAGAACCAACACCATTATGCATCCCATAATACCTCCTGCTACAGGACCAACTGGAGCACTTTTTATCATATTCAAGGTTATCACTTCATCTCCTTTCATTTCAGAGGGAGAAAAAAAATGAAAGTCATGTGAAAATCTCCTAAAGAAGTTCAAATCCTGTAAAATAATCTAGATAATTGCTAGATTATGGGTGCTACCTGAAGTCTAACTTTGGGTGACAAAGACACTCTGAACAGGAAATGCCAATTTTCAAAACAAGCCGAGTGGCCATTCCACTGCTCCATTTAATATATTAAAATGTTTATGAATACAGTAAATTCCTATCCTAATCAATACACCAAAATGGCATTTTCTCTTACAGACTGCATGGGCTAGAAAGCATCTCTTATACAGGATTAGTCCAATATATTCTGCTTCCCCAGGTAAAATTCTTTTATGATAAAAAGAAGCTAGACCTCAGCTTCACCCTGCGTGATTCTCATAAAAAGTATGGTTGTTTTTTTTATGTAGATAATCCAGACCAGATCTCAATATATTTTAAAAAATCCAAATAGATCTTACCAATGGATCCCATGTCATCCGTATAGGGGCTTTTGGC